AGTAAAGTAATGTGGGCCTGGGCCCATTTCAGTTGGAAAGATTTTAGCTAGCAATTCAATTTGTCGACTTATTACAGGTTTATTCACTTTATAGCTTTGTTTTTAAATCCATTTTGGTGATTTGTGTCTTTCTAGGAATTTTTCCATTTTATCTATGTTGTCTAATTTGTTAGAATCAATGTGTTCATAATATTTTCCTATAATCCTTTTAACTTTTGTTGAGTCTGTAGTGATTCTTTTTTTTTTTTTTCTTTTAAGTAGGCTCCACACCCAGCACAGAGCCCAACGCAGGGCTTGAACTCATGACCCTGAGATCAAGACCTGAGCTGAGCTCAAGAGCCAAATGCTTAATCGACTGAGCCACCCCAGTGCCCCAGTGATTTCTTTTTTGCTTCCTGACTTGGTAATTGGCTTTTTCTCTTTTTTATTTTCATGTATAGTCTAACTTAAGATCTGTCAATTCTATTGATCTTTTTAAAGAACCAACTGGTTTTATTGATTTTTCTCTGTGCATGTGTGTGTTTTCCATGTCATCGATTTCTGTTCTAATCTTTATTATACCCTTTCTTCTGCTTACTGTGGATTTCACTTTCTCTTCTTTTTCTAGTTACTTATGGTGAAAGCTTAGGTTATTGATTTGAGGTCTTTCTTCTTGTCTAATATAGGGCATTTAAAGCCATAATTTTTTCTTTAAGCACTGCTTTAGCAGCATCTTATAAGTTTTGATGTGTTTTGTTTTCACTTGTATTTAATTCAAAATATTTTCTTTTTTTTTTTTTAAAGATTTTATTTACTTATTTGACAGAGAGAGAGATAGTGAAAGCAGGAACACAAGCAGGGGGAGTGGGAGAGGGAGAAGCAGGCTTCCCGCTGAGCAGGGAGCCCGACGTGGGGCTCGATCCCAGGACCCTGGGATCATGACCCGAGCCGAAGGCAGACGTTTAATGACTGAGCCACCCAGGCGCCCCTCAAAATATTTTCTAATTTCTCTTGTAATTTCTTCTTTGTATTATTTAGAAGTGTGTTGTTTTAAATTTCAAAACGTTTGGAAATCTCCCAGATTTCTTTCTGTCATTAATTTCTATTTAATTCTATTGCTCAGAGAACAAACTTTGTATGATTTCTTACATACATAAAACTTGTAAATTTATACGGATTTGTTTTGTGGCCTAGCTATATGGTCTGTCCTGGAGGATATTCAGTGCACTTGACAAGTATGGTGTGTGGTCATTGGGTAGAGTATTCTATGTCAATCAAATTGCTTGATCTTCTGTGCCCCTGTTGATTTTCTGTTTAGGTATTCTATCAATTACTGAGAGTGGACCATTGCAATCTCCAGCTATTCAATTTTGTTTTTCTTCATGTATTTTCTTCTTTCTGTTGTTAGGCCCATATACATTTATAATTGTTGTATCTTCCTGGTGTGTTGACCCTTCACAATTTGTAATTTCCTTCTTGGTCTCTAGTCATATTTCTTGTCTTAAATTATATCTTATCTCTTATCTGATATTAATTTAGCTACCATCTCTCTTATTGTTACTATTTGCACGGTATTATTCTCTTCCTTTGGGTGCTCTCCATTCCCCACCGCACATGTGTGTTATGTCAGCTAGAAACGCACTTGCCCCAGCTGTGACCAAAAGCTCAGGCTAGTGGAGCTGTTGGGCCTCCCTGCTCAATCCCCCTGAGAAGGTCACCTCTGCTGCTAAACATGAGCACGGCACACTGCTCCGAGTCACAGGCACCCCTTTCTATCACAACAGAGCATCTGGGGGTCCTCACAGCAACCCCTGCCCTGAAAGAAGCTCACCAAGCAAGCAGGAAGAGTATCAGAGCAACTGGAGGCCAAAACCCCACCGAATTCCACCGTGGTCAGCAGCAGCTCAGCAGTTTTTCAAGTATAAAAGCCTCTCAGTTTAGTACATACCTTTGGCCTTTCCAGAGTGCTAGAATAGTTATTTTTGTGGATTTTGTTCAATTTTATAGTTGCTTTTTTGGGGGAGAGGACTTGATGATCTCCTCAGTTGGCCATAGTCAGACATCTCTCCCAGGGACACATGCATTTGCACTCACTGCCTGGCAAGTTCCACAAAGCAGGGATTTCCGTCTCTTTTCTTCACCGTTGGACTACTCTAGATGATGATCTGGTAGAGCGTAAACTCTCAATAAAAGAAGTTTGCATTTTGATTTTAGTAACAGGGTTCCTCTGGATCCCAAATTCAGCAGCAGCAACACAAAGCAGTCAGGTATAGGGACTGTTGGGGCTGAAAACAGGATCTGCCAGGGACATCCAAATTCACATTTAACTTAAGTTTTTATGAAGGTAATTGTAGATTCACATACAGTCATAAGAAATAAAGCAGAGATCCTGGGTACACTTTACCCATTTTCTCCCAGCAGTCTCCCAAGAACCAGATTTTGATTCACTGATTTTTCTCTATTGTCTTGCTATTTTCAATTTCATCAGTTTATGCTTTGATCTTTATCATTTCATTCCTTCTGTCTGCTTTAGGTTTATTTTGCTCTTTTCCTAATTTCCTGAGGTGAGACTTCCCAATTGTTGATTTGAGGGCTTTCCTAATTTCTTATGTAAGCATTTAATGCCATGTATCTCCCCTCTGCACTGCTTTAGATGCATCCCACATGTTTTGTTATGTTTATTCTCATTTTTGGTCAATTCTCTGTATTTTTTTATTTCCTTTGAGACTTCCTTTTTGATCCATGTATTATTTTTAAAGTGTGTTGTTTCATTTCCACATGTTGTATGATTTCTATTGTTTTAAATTTGTTGAGGTTTGTTTTAAAGCCCAACATTTGGTCTAAGATAGACTAGATCTTATGGTGAATGTTCTGTGGGGGCTGGAAATACAAGTGTTCTGCTGTTGGTGGTCCAAGTGTTCGATATGTATCAATTTGGTCCTGTCGGTTGATTGTGGTGTTTAGATCTTCAATACCCTTGCTAATTTCCGTCTAGAAGGTCTACTGGTTGCTGAGAGGGGTTGCTGGAGCTGCCAACTGTAACTGTGGATTTATCCATTTCTTCTTTCAGCTCTTTCGGTTTTTGCTTTATGTAACTTTGTGGTTCTTCTGTTTGGTGTGTATACATTTAGGATATTTGTCTTCCTGGTGGATTGATCCTCTCATCATTATCTAATATCTGTCTTTGTTTCTAGGAAGTTTCTCTGCTCTGAAGTCTATTTTATCATATTATTAGTGTACCCACTCCTGATTTGTTTTGGTATTGTTTATGTGGTATAAGTTTTTCCATCCTTTTATTTCAACCTACCTAAGTCACTGTGTTTGAAGTGAATTTCTTGTAAAGAGCATGTAGGTGGGTTGTGTTTTTTTTAAATCCACTCTGTCAATCTCTATCATTGGACTGATATATTTAAACTGTTTAAGTTTTAAACTATGTAAGACAAACAGTATGTTAGCAATTAACTCTGCCATTTTATTATCTGTCTTCTGTTTATTTCCTGTGGTTATCATTCCTCTGTTCCTTTAATTTACTGGAACACATTTTAGGATTCTAGCTTTATTTTTCTATACTGTTTTTGAGTGCATTTTTTCATAGTCACTTTAATGGTTGCTTTGAGCATGATAAATAAATGTGTGACTTACCAAATTTCTCTCACTTTCAATGAAGTGCAAAAAGCTCACTCCTATTTAGGTAACTTGCCCCTCCCCACTTCTAAATATCTTAATTGCTCTTCCTGAGTATCAGATGGTTTTGTAATTTTTGTTTCGATTATAAAATATTATTTTTAAAACTCATGAGGAAAAGAAGAGCTTACTTATGGACCCATATTTCTGCACTACTGTTCCTTCTTCCGTCCTAATGTATCAAGTCTTTTTCTTCTATTTCAAGAATTTATTTTAGCCTTTCTTTTAAAGTAGGCCTGACAGTGACAAATTCATTCAGTTTCCCTACATCTGAGAATGTCTTTATTTCCCCTTTATTCCTAAAGGACAGTTTTGCTGGATATAGAATTTGTAGTTGACGGTTCTTCTCTTTCAATATTTGAAAATGTGCCACTTCTTGGGCTGCCTGGTGGCTCAGTCAGTTAAGTGCCCAACTCTTAATTTCAGCTCAGCTCATGATCTCAGAGTCGTGAGATCAAGCCTCTCATCAGGCTCTGCGCTTAGCAAGGAGTCTGCTTGCGATTCTCTCTCTCCCTCTGCCCCTCCACCCTCCACCCTGCTCATGCACAATCTCTCTCCTTCACTCTCTCTCTAAAAGAAAGAAATAAATAAAATCTTTTAAAAAAGAAAATGTGCCACTTCTTTCTGCCTTCCATCGAATCAAAGGAAAACTACACTGTCATTCAAATTTGTGTTCCCTGTAAGTAATGCATCGTTCCTCTCTGGTTGCTTTTAAGATTTTTTTTCTTTGTCTTTCATCATTTTCTTCTTACCACCTTTCAGAGTCCTCCTGTGGTTGTCTCTGACATTATTTTCAGGGTTTACGGTTGTGCTTAGCAGGGAAGAGCAGGGAAAAACTGACCTCTGCCATTGTGTCTGAACCAGAAGTCTCAAATTTCTAAACTCTGAGTTTGCAATATCTACTATAACTGTTATGTTATCTGTGAGGTGTGTTCCACCAGCTAGAAGGCTAGCATCTCAGCACATATATTTCTAATGGCCACATTCTGCAGAGCAGGGCATAGGGCAAGCAGGCACTGGTGGAAGGGAATTAAGAGGATTTGTGGTCAGAAGGCATCAAAGTGGTTCAGTCCAGCTGCTAGCTTCTTCCTAAACAGGGGAAACAGTCCTCCGAACCAGCATGAGCCATATTTTCTCTGGACCCTCTGGGGGTGATAACCAGAGTCTGGAATCTAGAAACATGCGAGTGCATGAAGAACACACATTTTTAGGCCAATCTGCAGACTAATTTGCAGACCCTTAAGTAAAGATACAAATTTTGCCAATTTCTTGGTAATATCAATAGAAAGTAAAATATCAAAGAGTTTCATTTGAAAAAAGAAAGAAAATATTCCTACCTGTTCTGAGGACATTTCACCAAATAATGTCTCGCTGTAACAAGAAAAGAAAAGAAATAGAAGATGGTAAATAAATGTTACTCTAGATATATATGCTCCAGGAATCCCCGGGAAATGTAGGTGCCCAGGCGTTGCTCAGATGTTGGGACAAGCCTCTTCTTGGGGCTTTCATACTTCTCTTTGGATGAGTACTGCAGAACCATAGCACAGACGCCACATTGACTCGATAATATTCCACACCTAGATTGAGCCAGGCATGAAACCATACACCCCAGACCTCCTAGTTTCATATCCCAAAACAGTCATTTTTTTTTCCAAGCCAGGTTAAGGTGGGTTCCAACTTGGAAGGTCCTGGAGTGACAGTCACCCAACTTCAAAGCTCTGCCTTATCCATGAGAAAGACTTTGGGGATAACCTGTTTCCACTTAGATGCTCCTCTCTGTAAACTGGCTTTTTGTTCTCTGATCAACGCTCTTCCAGGGGGGCCCTTGGAAAAACAGTCTTAGAGCAAGACATCCTCCACAGTAGGTCTCATTAAGAAGAAAAAAAAAAAAAACAGATTCTAGCAGCAGAGGAAAAATAAGAATACCTAGGCAGTTATCCTAATAGGTATCCAATCTAAGCTCACAACTGAGTTCACTTCAAATAGAAGTAAAGCCATGGGCCGCGGAGTCGGGTCGTGGATCATTACATCGATGGCCCCAATGAATCACACCTCCCTGTGTCTATCTACAGCCCTGTGAAACTCCGCCCCCACACTGGGCTTGGCCGCCAGATGTGCTTTGGCCAATGAAACAATAACCGATATGTCACAAGCAAAGGCATAACAGGTCCCTGTGCTCTGAGGTTTGCTCATTTGCTCTTTCTCTCATTGCAGGGAACTCTTCTGCTACCGCATAATGAAGCCTGGCTAGCCTACTGGGAGATGAGACCACATTGAACAGAAGCAAGTCATCCCAGTGAGGCCCCAAAGCAGCCAGGCCCCAGCTGATCCACCAGCAGGCTGCAGCTGCAGGAGCGACTCCAGCAAAGACCAGAAGAAATGCTCAGCTAAGCCCAGCTGAAATCGCTGACCTACAGAATTGTGAGCGAATAAAATCGTTGTTGTTTTAATCTACTACACTTGCAGTGATCTGTCCTGCAGGTGACCAGGGTAGGTTCCAGACCAGCATGACAGTCTCAGCTGTAGAGAGGGCTTTTTAGGTTTACCTGTTACAACCCCTTATTAGTGCATAAACTCTTTCTGCATCCTGTTTACTAAGCACCTACTCTGTGCTGGATAATTTACAGATGTAGCAATAATAAAACCATAATTAGTATTTACTGAACACTTCATATGTTCCTGGCCTAACTCTAGGCTTATTAAATAAATCAGTGATCATTTGTCTGGGGTTTGCAAACCAGTGGGCACTCCTAGGAAGGGCAGTTTTAAGGAAATCAGTTTCTAGATCCTCACCTAGCATGGTGTTCTTTCCTCAGAATTCATTCTTCCAGAACATGCCTGAGCTCTAGCTGTATCCTTTTCCTTCCCTCCCTTCTCCATCACATCACTGTTTCTCTCCACAAAATTGAGGCACACCTCTTGCCCATCCTGACTTAGACTATGGAGGTAAAAAACAGGAGGCACCGAATGAGAAATTATTTGAAATGTTTGGGCCAGTGCTGAGAAAGCAAATGACTAATGACTGGGCAACTAAACCTTTCACCAGCAGAGAGGTTTCCAATATTTTGCTTTCAACAAGGATTAAATAGTGACCTAATCAGTTGTCAGCTGGTCAAGTATTAAAAATCATTTTCAATGATAGATCATATACCCTTGCATGAATCTGCTTCATAACGGAATTCAGCATCATTTCTATTCTTAGTAATAGAATTCAGCATCAATTCCATACTTTAAAAAGTAGGAATAGAAATGATGCTGAATTCCGTTATGAAGCAGATTCATGCAAGGGTATACGAAGTAAAATAAAAATTTATTTTAATAAAAATACATTTCCAATAAAATGCTCTTCTTATGATTGATTATCCAAACTGATAATATCTATGGAGTTTTTTTTTTTATTCTTATGTTAATCCCCATACATTATATCATTAGTTTTAGATGAAGTGTTCCATGATTCATTGTTTGTGCATAACACCCAGTGCTCCATGCAGAATGTGCCCTCCTCAATACCCACCACCAGGCTAACCCATCCTCCCATCCCCTCCCCCTCTAGAACCCTGTTTGTTTTTCAGAGTCCATCGTCTCTCATGGTTCGTCTACCCCTCCGATTTCCCCCGCTTCATTCTTCCCCTCCCGCTACCTTCTTCTTCTTCTCTATGGAGTTTTGATTAGTTTTATACTCATTTTCCAAATCTTACTAATTGTGCACTATTAATAACTCAATACAGAAAAAAAATGTAATACCTAGAAACTTATGGAATAAAGAAATTTAAAATTTCTTAATTTAAACTTGTACACACATTATTTTTACAGAGAAGTGTAAACAAAAAAATTGTATTAAAGTGGGATAAAATTTGGTGGGGGAAGTAGATTGAAGATAAAAGTTCAAGGAGAAAAAGGACTGATATATAATTTCTAACAGCTAAAGCATGTTCATAGAGTCTTTTTTTTTTTCTCTATTACTTTAGTGCATGTAAATTTATTTTATTCTTTTTTTTTCTTTTTTTATTCTTATGTTAATCCCCATACATTACATCATTAGTTCTAGATGAAGTGTTCCA